AACCAACCAACCAACCAGAGTGAGACTCACACAGGACTACCTCTCAAGCACTTGACTCCTCATGTCCCCAATGGGCTACCTTCTGCCCACTCCTCTCCTGGGCCTGTCTCAGGGATAGCCTCATAGTCCCTAGCCAAATGCTGGACCTAGTTCCCTTGCCCTCTGTGGAGGCCTCACCCCAGCTGTCACTGTCTAGAGCCATGTTTGTGTTCCCCAGTGGAGGGTAAGGTCAAGTGCTGAAGCTGCCTCAGACTCTGGTGTTTGACCAATTCAATCAGTATATACAGTCAACAAAGAGCTGAGCCTTCATGTAGGAACTGGGGCTCCTGAGAAATAAAATACAGGCTTTTTTTAATGGCTTAAGATCAAACTTAGGGCCTCCTACATACAAACCCCCAAAACCTATACTCTCAGCCCCAAATTCACACACTGCAATCAAAGCCTCATACCATGCTAAACTTCCAAGCTTACAGGAAGTAAGTAGATAGTACAGAATTACAGACCTGAAAGACATAGGCCGGAACCAGCCTAGGTGCTGTCCTGAAGGGTAAGGCCTAACTAGATGCAGAGTGGAACAGACAGAGAAAGCATATATGCCTGACCCTGAACATGGGACATGTGAAAGGCCTCTAGAGTTGGGGAGCCTGACACCAAGCCCAAGCCTGACATAGGGTTAAGAGTGCCTGACACCAAGCCCAAGCCTGGCTCAGAGGGCACTTGGCACCACTTAAAGGACTGTAAAAAAAAGAACCACAGTCCTGGGTGCAGCACAGCTCTAGCCCACAGGACTCAGCTTTGAGTGCCCTGTGGCACCACATCCAACCTCTCCATTTGTCTGTGCACCTATAGATGGTACTAAAACATCTGAGCAGACAGTTACAAAGAAAACAGCAACTACAGATACAGGAGCACAGAGAGAGGGTACCAGCCCCCCAATCTAGGCACACGTACCGTGACACTGCGGATGATGCCAGTCTGCCCTACCACCTGTGTATCCAGGTAGGTATCCCGCACCTTCACCTGGATGTCAGTGGTTACCCAGTCACTGGAGTTCTGCTCAATGCCTGAGCCTGGTGTGTGGGGGTTGTAGCCACCAGGGGAGGGGGCTCCAGGTGTCATTGGACTGTAGCCTACAGGGCTCGGGCTGGGACTTGCCTGCAGGACAAAGGAGGTCAGTTGACACTACTGTGACAGGCTGGAGTAGTCATCAGCCTGGCCATCCCTACACTTCCAAGGCGCTCCACTGCCCCCACCCTCAGCCCTCAGGAGCTCCTGTACCTGGTAGGCCATGGGCGAGGGTGTGGGGTGGTAGCTGGCGGGAGAGTGGGTATTTTGGTAGCCAGCTGGACTGGGCGCCACCTGGTGGTAGCTCTGGGGGCTGGGGCTGGGCTGGTAGGAGCCTTGTGGAGATGGGGCCGCATAGGGCGAGAACTGGTCTGTGTTGTACCTGCAGACACAGACAGAGGACTATGTACACACACCAGGGACTAGGGGGCCAGGGTGGCTGAGTTGATGGGGTACCCAGGGAACTCACATGGCAGGTGTTCCCGGTGTCTGGGGGTTATACTGTGGGTTGACTTGGGGAGATGAAGGGTCTGGGTAGCCAGGTGTTTGAGGGTTGGGGGTTCCCCCATAGGCCTGGGGAGACGGGGTGGGCTCATCATCAAAGGCGTACTCATATTCTTCCTCAGCCCTGTCGGAATAGAAGTCAATTAGGAATGGCATCCACGCTGGGCAGTCTCACTGTGACCTAGCTGGAGGCACTCTGACACTCTCACCTTTCCATGGTTGAGACAGTGACATACAGGGCCAAGGTCACACACCCAGGCAGTCTGCCTCTAACCTCCCAACTCCTGCTGAGGCACCTGGCATGCCTTCATGCCCCAACACACCCCATGCTGGGCCCAGCCCTCACCGAGATGGTGTGTTGGGGTTGTTGGGGTCCCACGCGCCACTCTGGGCAGGGGTGCGGCTGCCATCATGCAGGGGCGTCTGTGAGCCGTAATGCGGGGTGCGGCTGCCTGAAGTAAGGAGATGAGCTTGTCAGCTGCTCTGTCCTATAATTACGAGTCTCCCCACCA